ATTTCCTTCGGAATCAATAAAGTTCTTATCTTATACACGGTAAAGTATTTAAACATTTTAGTGATTAAGTGTTGAACTGTAGAAAGTTTGTCTTGAAAGAGGATAAAGTGGCCGGCCCTTTGGCTGGGGTGGCTGCCGGGTTCTGGCAGAGGGTTGTCTGTGGTTGTGCGTGTGTGGTCGTTGGTGGTGCATGGAGGCGGTCGGGGCCGTGGCTTCACTTTGACGGGGTGCTGGCTGGTCGGCCTGATGTGACATTCGCGGTGGGGGGGTGCTGTGTGTGTGTGTGTGTGTGTGGGGGGGGGGGTGCATGGGTGGCGTGCCGGGGCCTCTCCGGGTCTGTGGTGTGGGGCTGTAGGGAAGCATTGGTGCGCTGGGACGGCCTTCCTTGGCTGTTGTTCCCTGCTGCTCTGGCCCCCGGCCTGGGGCCGGCTTGCGGTCGCTGTCGGGTTGGCGGGGCACATGGACGGCTGTGTGCCTGTTTATGTCTCAGGTTGGGTTTTGGGTGGTCCACCCTCTTGGATCAATTTTGCCCCCCCATTTGGTGTGTTGTACTCCCCTCCAGTGGTGGGCCCCCCTGCCGCCGGTGCATTGGGGCTCTCAGCAGCTGGGGCTGGGTAGTGGGGTGTGTGCGGGCACGCCCTGGTGTCTGCCTGCCGGGGCCTGGGTGCCCTGGCTCTGCCGGGCCTCTGTTGGGGGGTGGTATGACCTTGAGACTCGGGGCTCGGTGTCCATGGCCGGATCTACTCTGGAGGGGCGGGTTGCCGGCGGGGCCTGTGGACTCGTCGCTGCAGCCTCCTGAGGTTTCAGCATTGTGGTGGCTGGGGATCGTCCGGGGCTTCCCTTTGCTTCTCTCTCTGGGGGGTGCGGGTGTCCCTGTTGGGGAACTCCTGGAGTTCCGGGCTTGGGGGCCGCTGTGTCTGTGGTTCCGGTCTTCCCTGTGTTACCTTCGTGTCATGTGGGGATGGGTTTATGGGTCCCCACATCCACTATTGAACATTTTTATGGAGAAACCTTATAGTGACAAGCATGCTCACACAGGTGTTTAGATTCAGGTGTTTATCAGATACACACTCAGTTGGGTTGTGGTGGCCATCAAATATATCTTGTATTACCATGTACTGTATAAAATACTTTCTAATGATGTTACAAGTATCATTATATATGTTGTTTGTTGTTGTGGTTCCTCGGTTTTGTCTTGTCTTTTTTTTCCCGCAGGTCTAGAGACAGACTTCAATGATGTTGATTTGTGTTCTCTTTATCCCTCTCTCTCTCATCTATTCCTATCTCCTTCTTTACATTTTAACTCTTTTCTCACTTTTCTGCTTTGTCATCTTCTTTGTTTTTCATCCCCATGTCCATTACATCTGAAACAAGCCCATAGCAAATTCTAATAAAATTTAATTTTCATATCAAGAGGAGCATTAAGGCCAGCCATAATGCTCTGCTTGTGAAAGTAAATCTGTTGGGCATCACTTTGACACTCAGACAATAATTCCAAGTGTCACAATGCCGAACAGGACAAGGGGGGAAAAAAAAAGAAAGAAAGAGGATAAAGTAACCAGAAGACTGAAAAATGGACCCAGTCAAAGCTGAGAGAGCAGGAAGGACAATTTGAAACAATGCAAAGTAAAAAATTCTTCTGCAAATAAGCCCAAGATAACTAATTAGCTCTGGATCTAACACTATATATATCAGCTCTAGAGCTAATGCTATATATATTAGCTCTGGAGCTAATATATATATATATATATCCACGGAGAAACACGATCACAGCTCTTCCCGAACTTATAAAAAGAGACATGAGTTTGACAGCAGGGTGGTTTGGCAGATGAAGCAGGTGGAGAGACGCAGCAGGACCGGTGGAACTCCAGAGTCTGCCCAGGAGAGATCTCTTTTCCTCGTATGAAATGGGTGAAATTGATTTATTTCAGAGAATCTTTATTTTTCTACGTAAAGTCAAATGAGTGAGACGATTCAGTTTTGTTTGAGAAGACAGCACGAGGTGCTGCTGCGATGAGCCCAGATTACGGCCAGTGCACGTTTTGTTTTTATGCAGATTAAACAGCATTCAGTGCCACGCTCCTCTTCTGGTCATCATTAAATACAACGCAGAGTGAACTATAAGAAGAATAAAAACAAACTGACAGGTTGATATTATTTGGACCGAGCTGAATTAATATCCAGCCAAGTTCAGAACATTACACAGCTGTCGACACTAAACCACGCCCACATACACTCGCGCTGAGGCACGTCCATCCTCATTGGATGAATCCTGTGGCTGTGGGCGGACCCTGGGCTATATAGCTGTATAATTTTCTGTATATATATATATATATATATGTCTATTTTGGAGTTATAGCCCCCCACTGTTGGAAACTCCATGAGCCGCCACTGGTTAGCAGTGTGGTTCTGTTTGCAGCATGGTGTTGTTATTAGTGTTGGCAGGTCTTGTTAGCAGGTCCTGTTAGCAGCTTGATGATAATAAGGACCGCAGCAGCTGCCCTCCAGAACCGGGTTCGGCAGAAAGAGAACAACAAGTTGTTGAAAACAAGTTTTCTCTGTGGAGCCGAACGGGTCTGTAGAGTTCAGTTCATGCAGGTAGATGGAGGATCATGGAGACAGCCGGCGCCATGACAGGCCAGAACATGAGCCCAAGGCTGGAGGGGGGCCAGTAATTGAACCATGATGGCACGATGACAAGGCAGCGACACACACAATCCAAAAGTGCGTCGCGGTCATACCCGGAGCGTGGGTGTGCAGTGTAGGTGCAAAAAAAGTTGAAACAAAAACAACAGGAACAAAAGAAATTTGAGTCAAAGCGGAGCTCCGATCATTGCTACCAGACAGCAGTGCAACCATCCATCCATCATCCATCCATCAAACATCCATCCATCACTCATCTATCAATCCATCCATTCATCCAACAAGCATCCATCAACCATCCATCCATCATCCATCCATCAAACATCCATCATCATCCATCCATCCATCAATCATCCATCCATTCATCATCCATCCATCCATCAACCATCCATCCATTATCAACCATCCATCTATCTATCTATCCATCATCCATCCATCCATCCATCCATCCATCATCCATCCATCCATCATCCATCTATCATCCATCCATCATCTATTCATCAAACATCCATCTACCATCCATCATCCATCATCTATCAACCATCAATCTTACCATCCATCCATCCATCCATC